CCACTCTTAAACAAGGAGTAATAGAGTTGATACCCAACCCGGTGTATTTTTCCCACACCCACAGGATTTACTCAAACACTATATTTTTATCTCACTGAAAAATAACACACACAGAAATATTTTTTTTTGTACTCTCCTGCTCTCTCTTTTTTCTTCCTCTCTTGGTGCATTTTCCTCTGCTGAATACCCTCTCTATTTATAGAGAGGTTTGAGCAATGCGTACAAAAATACTTTCGGCTGCAGCTTTCCTTCCACTTTCTTTTGGCACAATAACCAAGGATTATTAAATGCCCATGCCACCATAATTTTGCTCAACATTTTGATTCCTTTTTCTTTTGTTTTCTTGTTGGGCTGGACCCCACAAAATTTTTAGTTTCGTCATTGATCACTTTGTGTCTCGTAAATCTATTACTTTCATTATTGTCGATTATTCGTGGTTTTAGTTAGATATATGTATTATGGATGGTAAACAAAATGAGAATATGAATCTGTCTAATAATATTTTTAGCCGAAGGTATACGGCACATATGCAGAGCATTTTATCTCAAATATTGAATTTTAAATTAGGTATATGTATATTTTATTTTCTATTTTTACATAGATTGTATTTTTTCATCAAAAATATGATTGAAGTCCATTGTATTTTGACAAATATCATGTATAATTCGTTCAATAATTCTAATTTAAAGATGCCATAAAGTGAAAATTCTCTACTTTATCACCTCATTGGCTAGTCCATATCTTAATCGATAATTCAAAATGCACCATCTTATTTTGATGATAATTCAAAATGCACCAATTTGAGAAGTGGTAATCATTTTTCAACCTAAAACCACTAATTCTTCATGCAATCTCCCTATATATTAATTCAGAACGCGCTGAGCCTACATGGCTGTTTCGGGTGCTTCGGAATCCTATGTGGCAAAATTACATGCTTCGTTATTAAGTTGGCTAAATTTTAATTTAATTCCAAGCAAAAAATAATTAGGTTCGGATTACCATAAATATGTTGATTATTTAATAACTTTTGTATTTTTATCAGTTTTACATATGTAATATATCAAATTAATCTTCTTTTGATGAGCTTCGATTTAACAACCATATTGTATATATAAAAAATAATTTATGTTTACATCTATAACAATAATAAAATTATTTTTAATATTAATTAGAAAAATAAAATTATTTATCAACTAATATATTTATATTTCAAGTAGTTATATGATATAAGTTATAAAATTTAATATAATATAACACATGTAAGTCATAAGTAACACATATCATTCTAAAATATATAGTAATATATTTTTTTGTAAAAAAGTAAACTAAATTTATATAGTTTTCTCATTAATTTTAAAATTTAAGAATATTTTTTAACAAGCACCCGTGTAATACGTGGATGTTGTACTAGTTAAAAATAATACGATATAAGTTTTAACGTCAGATGATACATTAAACATTTGGGTCGATGATTTGGACAGCCACAAATTAAATAAGTAATTTTATTTACCATATATATTTTTAATAATTCAATATCTAAATAAATATGATGATGTACATGACTTCTGAAATTCACTAAGTCTTAATTAGGCTCTGTTTGGTAAGTATATAAGTTAAATTATAGTTTATTTGATTAGCTTATAAACTTCCTCTATTCAAATAATTTTGGTTCAAGAAGTTTTTTTTTCTTAAAAAAAAAAAATCAAACTTATCTTATAAGCTTCATTGAATAACTTTTTAAATAAGTCAACTAAAAATTTTGTTATTAAATATTTTTATCATATAAGCAAATTTTTCAGTCATGTCATAAGCTATCAGCTATAAGCTCGAAATTCACTTAAAAGTTATAAGTTGGTTTATCAGTTATAAACTAACTTATCAGCTAAATTTAACAAATAATTCCTCGTCTCTGAAATCAAGTTCAATATTTCATATTTATACTAATTAGTAAATAAATTATATAAAAAAAAAATAGTGAATCCAAAATTTGTCTTCATAATATTTGGTGACATTTGTTTTATACTCTAACCCTTGGCTGCTTTTAGATTAATTTTTTTCCTTCATGGATAAAGGCAGATGTCACTGTCAAGAAAATAATCTCAAATCATAATTGTTGGAGTGGGCCCCACTTTCTCTTGGTCATTTTCATGGAAAATGTTCAAAGCTTTTCTTATATATGTTATGGAGTTTGGGGATTTTTGCATAATTGATTATTAATGTTCTATGACCCCTCACTAACACACACTGCAAATCACTTTAAATTATAAATTAATATATATATATATACATATTTTTATATGTTCATATATAGTTGTTGGATTTATGGTCATGTATTTTAGGTTAATTTAAATTTAAAATGGATGTTGTTATTTCAGAAATTCTATGGATTATTCAATGACTTTATGTACTGACACATGTTCAATGTGTTTTTTTGCAGAAGACGTGTCAGTACACTATTTGTGAACAATTATAGATGACTCCATAAATCGAGCCATCCGATGGTATATTTTCGTACTACAAGCAAGATTTTGTATTAATCTATTCTTTCAAAGCAGTTGTATTACAAGCAAGACTTTTGTATAAGCAGATCTAACGATTGGATAATCGTGTATGTTTTTTCAACCGGTAGATATACTTTTGAAAAGGAAATGTTATATTATAAAAATAATATAACAAAAGTATGATACTTCATTATATAAATATGCATATTTGTTAAAATAGCATAATGAAATATGACAATAAAAAGATATCAAAATGGATTTTCATAATTTATGGAATGACGTAACTTAGAGGATGCTTGGATACAATATTTTTCTAGAAAAATTCAATTATTTTTAATAAATATTTTTTTTGAATTAAAATTTAACTCAATTTTAACTCAATTCAATATTCTTAATATTATTAAAGTTGTGTTAAATTTTAATTCATTAAAGTTGTGTTAAATTTTGAGTTGAATCAATTGTTTTTTTGTACAAACATTAATCATAGTATGGACCAAAAAAAAAAGAAAAAAAAAGAAAAACAAAAAAAAAAAAAATAGCGTCGGTTTGATTTAGAAACTCGCAGTTAATCCCATCCGTCGAATCTCATCAGCAGCGGCAATCTCACGGCCAATACCCATTCTTATCCATTTGCCTTTTCCTTAAAACCCTAAATTCTCCCTCCCCCAAATTCCACAAACCAGATAAACCCCGGCTTCCTCCCTCGGCCACCAGCACTCGTCTCTCCTCAAGCTTGCGCCCGGCCGCCTGTTCATTCCTTTTCTCGTTCACCGTTAATTTTCGTGCCCGACGATGTCTGACGAGGAGCATCACTTCGAGTCGAAGGCCGACGCCGGCGCTTCCAAGACCTACCCACAGCAGGCCGGGACTATCCGCAAGAACGGCCACATTGTTATCAAGGGCCGCCCTTGCAAGGTATGGTTTCATTTTTCTTCGATCTTGCATCGGGGTTTTCGATCGACCTGCGTGTTTGTTTTTGCTGTTCTGTGGTTAGGGCTTGTTTGATTTCTCATATCAATTTGTTTGTCTGTTGTAGTGTGACATGAGCTGCTAATTTTTTTGTGGATTCTAAGACGACCCTTTTTCTTAAATTTGCTGATTTTATTGGTTATAGTTATGTTCGTTCGATTCTTGACATGTAAAACTGGTGTTGGTGTTGTGTTTCTGCTTGAGTTCTGTTGTTAGGGCTTGTTTTATTTATGATTGTTTGCTGTGGTTAGGGTTTTGTTTCTCAGTTTATCTGTCTGTTATTGTGTGACTTGAGCTGCTAATTTGGTGGATTTTGAGATTACCTTTTTCCTTAAAATCGTCGATTTTATTGGTTATAGTTATGTTGTAGACTGGTGTTCTTATTGTGCTTGATTTCCATCGGGAGCTAGCTTGAAAAAAGTAGTGTGATCTGAATCAGAGTGCCTCTTTGTGATGAGCTGCAAAGCCGATACTGCACGTAGTTAATTCCTTTATCTGAAATGTTGCTAGTTGATGTGTTTGTGAATATCTGCATAATCTTTTGAACTGTCCTAAATTGAAGGAAATAGTGATTGCAGAAAGGTAGATTAGTGGATCTTAACATTCATTTCTTGATATTTTTGCATTTTTTGGGATAAATTTGCTAATGCCTAGTAAGTTGCAAATTGGTTTGATTTTGTCATGGAACGTTAACTATATTGACAATTATTGTCACCTTGAAACACTATATATGAGGTACAATGTTAATAGGTTGTGGAAGTTTCGACCTCCAAAACTGGAAAGCACGGTCATGCAAAGTGCCACTTTGTGGCCATTGACATCTTTACTGGAAAGAAGCTTGAAGATATTGTTCCATCTTCCCACAACTGTGACGTATGTAGTTCTTTTTCCTTCCCTTTGAACTTCTCTTCTCATCTTCTTCGTATTCAGTTCTGTCATTTTTCCCCATCTTTTTCGGGTTGTTGTAATGGCTTTTACCTCATATATGTCATTTTTATTGAATGATAGGTTCCTCACGTCAATCGCACTGACTACCAGCTCATTGATATATCTGAGGATGGATTTGTATGTTCTTGCATATATTTATCTGATTTTGATTTTTGTTCTCCTTTGGTGTAATAAGTTAATAATAAACCTTTTGGGTGGAAAATGAAACTTTCTTCAGGTGAGCTTGTTGACTGAGAACGGCAACACTAAGGATGACCTCAAGCTCCCAACTGACGAGAATCTGCTTAGCCAGGTTATTTATTTTATTTTTTGTTTTCAATCTTATATGCCAAGTTTGAATATTTTTGCTTCCGTAACTAGAATCCACATAGTAAAACGAAGTTAATGCCCCTTTTGACTAAAAATGTGCAGATTAAGAGTGGTTTTGAGGAGGGAAAGGACCTTGTTGTGAGTGTTATGTCTGCCATGGGAGAGGAGCAGATCTGTGCCCTCAAGGATATTGGCCCCAAGTAGCTGTTCTTTTGGGAGATAGACCGTGCTATGGATTTCATAGATTGCCGAAGAATGATTTGGGAATGAATGTGTTTTACCTTCTTGTCGTGACTCGAATATTTACGGTTTTACATCCTCAAGACTTTTAAAAGGCTTGGTATGTTATGTTAGGAGGGCTTCAGTTGTTTTTTCTTTACATGTTTGAATCTGATCAGAGGTCTTGAGATTAAACGATTTTCGAATTATGCTTCTTCTTTTTTTATTTCATAGTCCCTAAAACTGTTATGTGCTTCTGGAAGTCTACTTGTTTTCTTAGTTAGGCCCAATTTTATAGGATTATCATTTAACAACTCTTTGACAATACTCGAGGAAAAAAAAAATCATAAGGTTGCGTCTTACAAAATCGAGAAAAATAAGAATAAAAATAAAAGGAAAAATGAGGGAGACGAGGGCAAAGTGAACGTGATTAGATTTCATATTCTATTTTTACAATCTATTTCGCATTTCATGCCTTACGCGTACATAAATATAATATCATCGTATTTCATGCCTTACGCGTACATAAATATAATATCATCGTATACACGTGTCATATGAAATACAAAATTGAAACATGAAATCTCACTCTAAACGAACCCGCATGGCAATTGGAACTTCAAATTGGGCCTAACTGATAATTCAATATTTTTTATATTTCATTTTGTATTTTATTCTATAAGTGTACAAATATGACGACATTGTATACAAGTATCATGATCATTTTTCATTCTATTTCGTATTTCATTGCATACAAATATGACGTCATCATATACGGGTCGGGAACTTGTATTTGGGCCTAACTAAACACGAAATAGAATGTAAAACACAAAACAATGTCATTCCAAGGCGAACTCACCTGGCAAGTTGCAACTTGTATCTGGGCCAATCTAAAAAACCCAGTTAAGTTGTGGGCTTCAATTTAATTTTAGGATAGCAATATATCTTACAAATGGGCTTCTATCACTTTCCTGCTTAAAATTTGATAAAGGCACCGGAATTCGTTTCCACGCTACCGGAGCTCACTCCTCCGTTCATCCTCGGTCCGCAGACACCGCCGGCAAGACGAACTTGGTATCACTGTCGAAGCTCCGAAGAGGTGGGTTGATTTTCTTTTAAGTTTCAATAATCATTGTACTTTATGCATCGTCTGTGATAAAAAGTATTATCCATCGCAAGTTTTGGCCCAATTTTCTGAATGTTGCCTCAGACCTACTGTGCAAATTGTATCTCATTGATGCAAGTTTTTTTTCCGGCCATTGTTGTTGCTTGCTTTTCTCTGCATTTTCTTATTTCATACCCTTTAACCTATTGCTTGAGAGTTAGGGTTTCAGGGACCCCATTAATGAATTATTTTTAATTGGCTTTCAGTGATGGGTTATTCAGCCCTCAATTTATTTTCTCAGTCCACCTCTAATTGCACGCTCGAGCTTAAAATTCCATTCGCCGGATACGATTCGGTATGTAGTAGTTTTGCCTTTCAGAACTATAAATGTCGAAGACCCATTCCATACCGGTTACTGGTTTTCGGAAGAATAAACGAGTGTGGTGTGAGTGGAAATGTGGTAAAAGAGATCGAGAGCCCGACAATGAAATTTGATAAAAAGGTTCCGGATTTGACCGAGGAACAAATGCTGGCTATCTCCCAACTTCCTTCCAAGATGTCAAATAGATGCAAGGCTTTGATGAGAAAAATAATTTGTTTTTCGAGCGAAAATGGGAATGTTGATAATATGTTGGCTGCTTGGGTGAAGAGCACAAATCCAAGAAGAGCTGATTGGCTTTTTATTCTCAAAGAACTGGAGAGGACGAGTCATCCGTTGTATCTCGAGGTCCGGTATTTACTTACTTTCCCTTGAAATCTTCTGTTTAATTTTTCTCTAGGTTGATTGAATCGTGTGTTTTTGTATGTTTATTTTCTTATTGATTTGCTTTTGTTATATTAGTTGGCCAATTCATCTTTTGTGATGTAATAGTTCTGGTTGCATTTGAGTATGAGGTTATGTTTGGTAAAACCAGTTGATAAGCTAGCTTATACCTCATAACTTATGACTTATAACAGAAAAATTAACTTATACGATAAAAATTGTTTGGTAAATTTAGCTGATAAGCTAGCTGAAACAAAAATTTCAACGAGCTTATTTGAAAAGCTACCCATAGTCGAGCTATTTAAAAAAACTCGTCCTACCAAACAAAGCTCATAAGCTAACCAAATAAGCGCTTATTTGTAGCCTTAGCATGTGTGCATCGTTTTTATTTATTTATTTATTTAATTTTCTGATTGATTGCGTAATGCTTCATGAGAAAATAACGTAGTTATGTTTCTTTTCCTTTCACTATTTTTGGGATTAATCGTGTGAATTCGGATTGACAAGTTGCTAATTTATTGTGCAATAGCCAATAGGAACTTACTAGTGGCTCCGGTTAGAAATTTACCGCAAAGATTTCCAAGTTTAGTGTGTATTGGATAACTCAAAGTGTCTTCTTTAGGATAATTTTACTTTTGTGCACTTTTCTTGTTAAAAATCGCCAGGTGTTTGAATGCGCCTTCACACAAGACTCATTTGAGCCCAACATCCGTGACTACACAAAGATAATCCACGCCTACGCAAAGCAAAACATGCTGCAAAAAGCCGAAAACGCCCTCTCGTCCATGAAGAACAGGGGTTTTCCATTCGACCAGGTAATCCTAACGGCCTTGGTCCACATGTACAGCAAATCGGGCCACCTCGAACTAGCCGAACAATCGTTCGAGGACATGAAAATGCTCGGTGTCCCATTAGACAGAAGGTCTTACGGGTCTATGATCATGTCTTACATTCGGGCCGGGAAACTGGGCTCTGGAGAGAGCCTGCTTAGGGAAATGGAGGCCCAAGATGTTTACGCGGGCCGTGAAGTTTACAAAGCCCTCTTGAGGGCATACTCGATGTTGGGGGACAGCTGTGGGGCCCAGAGAGTGTTTGACGCGATGCAGATGGCTGGTAACATCCCGGACGCTAGGGTTTGTGGGCTTTTGATAAATGCTTATCTGGTTTCGGGCCGGAACAGGGAGGCCCGTGTTGCGTTTGAGAACATGAGGAAATCGGGTCTGGCGCCGAATGATAGGTGTGTGGGCTTGGTGCTGGCGGCTTATGAGAAGGAGAACAGATTGAACGAGGCTTTGAGTTTGCTGGTCGAGTTGGAGAGGGATGGGTTCGTGCTCGGGGAAGAGTCTTTGGGCTTGGTTATGAATTGGTTTAAGAAGGTTGGTATTGAGGAGAAGGTTGAGGATGTGTTGAGGGATTTTGTCCCGAGGAGAACATGAAAAGTATGGTGTAATATACTTTATGCAATATTTCATGCGAACGAAGAATGTTGTTGTTCAATTTTGTTCCCCATGCCTTTCAATGGAAGTAAGAATATCTAGGCTAGTAATTGAATGAAGTATGATAGATAGTGTTGTTTCAGGTAACTGATTTGTATTGGGTGCTCTTAGTAAGAACACAAGAACTTGTGATGCAGTCTAGCTGTAGGTCGACTCGTTATACTTTTGGAATAAAAATGTATATTTATATTATCAACTCTTGTATTTTTATTTATATTATAGTTTGAATATGATATTTTGCAATGAACACTCTACCAAAAGTTGGGCTGGGCGCACGCTTAGGTGGCACTCAGGTGCCCCAACTTCGCATAGGTGTCTATTGCAGGCGCTCGTCTGATTAGATGCCGCCTAGGCAGCACTTGGGCGCCCTGATTTTTGTCTAGTGGCTCCTCCAAGCGCTGAAAAGATTAGGTGCCGCCTAGGTTGATTACGCGGCACCCAAGCGGTTGCAAGTTAGTCACGCCTAGACTAATTAGGTGGTCTAGTTTGCAACTTCAGTGGTCCAAACGCTTGTGTATGTGTGTATATATAAACACATACATTTATTTTTTAAAAAATATAATAAAATAATTAATTTTTATAGGATGAAAGTACAATGATTATAAATGAAAAAGAACCGATCAACCTTTTGATTGACGGAGCCGAACTGACCGACACCGAAAATTCGGATTGGACCGAAACTGAGACCGATTATTTGGTTCCATTTTCGGTTTATAATAAATGACATTTTCATTGAAAAGTTTATAATAATCATTACTTAATATTTTGAATACTACTTATGTTAGTGAGATTGTTATGAAAAAATAAAATATAAAAAGTTTTATTTATTTATTTTTCATTTTCATTTATTTGAAATGTAATAAATAAATATCTTAGTTCGAATTTAATATCATTCAAAAAATAAAAATAAAAAAATAAATCTTAATACGAGCACAACTGCACCAGCTTTGACTCATGCGTCGTCGTGTCCATTTCTCATTCTACTATCCAATTTTGACCCGACCCGATTACAGGAAAAATAAAAAAATAAAATAAAAAATCTGAAGATTCATCAACTATGAAGATCAACAAGAATCTCCAAGTTCAAACCCTTACTCCATAATCACTTCAAAACTCTGATCGATACCATAAATAATGGATTCCCTGTCGTCGGTATCGCCGTCAATCGTGCTCCCGCTCCGCCGCCACCACCACCACCGGCGGCGGATAACGGACGTCTCCTCCACATGCGGCAATTCAATCGATCGATTGCGTATTTCGGATCTATTTTGGAAGGGAAATCCGATTTCTAGGGTTCGCTGTAAATTGGGCGGGGAAAATGATCGGCAAGGCGAGAACGATCGGAGGGACGAGGAGCTGGAGAGGGCCCTGCGGATGGACGGCGCGATCCCCGGGACCTCCGACGCGTTCGTGAAGCAGGTGTCCTCACGCGCCTACGATATGCGCAGGCACCTCCAACAGAGTTTTGATAGCAGCAGCTATGATGGTAAGGCCGCTTCACAATGATATTAAGAGAAATTCTTCGATTTGGGCCTAACGTGAATACTGTAATTACTCTTTAATCGGCAATTGTGTTTCGTTTCTGTATATTGTTCTGATTGGCACCTTTGATCTGAGTTAGGAAAGTTGAAAATCATTTGTTCATCATGTGCTCTGGAGTTTAGCAAGTTCTTGACCCTATTGGCCCCTGAAATTTGGTTGGATATGAAATCCCGTTTTACAGTGGATGAACACTTAAAAATCGTGTTCGTTTAAGCTTGATTGATTTAAGTAAAACCTGAGCAACTTAACTGGAATACACATTAAAGTTTCGTTCTCTCTCTTTTGGTTGTAATATGCAGTACTTGAGGCAAACCCTTGGCGCGAGTCTTCGAAATCCGTTTACGTGCTGACTCACCAGGAAAACCAGCTGTGTACAATGAAAACACGTAGAAACCGCAGGTGACTTCTAAATCTCGAATTCGGATAATTTTTTTTTTTTTTTTTTTTTTTTTTTTTTGTTTCTGTTTTTATGTGTCTGGATATGAATTATCTCTCGTGTTATGCAAACGTGTAGTGAAGTTGAACGGGAGCTCGGACTCCTGTTTTCTAAAGGTATGACGAGGAGAAACCAGTCGAAACAGTCACGGACAGGCAACAAATTTCAGATGCTCGTTGAGGATGTCCGAGAGGGTGTACTCGTAAGTTCCTACCTTGCGCTTTGAGAAGATAGAAAGCAGTATATATTTGAGAAGAACACCTCAACTACTCTCTAAGCTTTGCTTGGTATTGTTACTTTGATGTATTGGCTGTTGCTTTGTCTCGCTATCAGTTCTTAGGGCGTGTTTGTATTCAACATGAGTTTTTTTTTTTTTTTTT